AGCAGCCGCGCCCCACTTCCTCGGGGATGTTCCCACGGCTGTGCCGGGCGGTGCTGAGCCCGGCTGGCGGGGAGCGCGGGGCGTGGCGCGCAGCCTCTGGTGCCCCGGACAGCGACAGCCAAGCACGGACCCCACAGTCCCCTCCGGTAAGCTCTCCGGTCACCCCACGTTGTGGCGCGTCGTTGGCCTCGGACTTTCCGCAGCGAGGTAACTGCTGGCCAACTGTTTGTCCTCTGCAGCTCAGCGCGGCCGCGGTGCAGCGGAGGAGAGCCGCGTCCAGGGTGGATCTGGAGGGCACCGACCCCGCCCGGCGCGGAGGGCCCGAGGCGGGCGCCCGCCTGGAGGAGGAGCCGCCGCCGCAGGTGAGCAGCGCGGGCCTCTCGGCCGAGGGCTGCAGAGGAGCTGCCTGTCTACACCGCCCGGCTCTTCTCGAACCCCCGCCCCCCGGCACAAAATACACCGCAGACCGTGCGAATCATGAGAAAGAAAGAAATCTTTCAAGAAAATGCTAGGATTTTAACATTTTAGTCCAAGAGTTGATCATTTCACATCTAGTTGTTGGTCCTGACCCATTTTTCACTCCCCAAGTCCCCGTCTATTCTGAACACGAATGTAATAAATTCTGCGCTTTCCCGAGTGCTGCTGTCCTGCATTTCCGCATCTAACTGCCGTGGCGTGTCCGTGAGGTGTGTCTCCCGGCCCGGCCCAGGGCTGATGCTTGCGCGCGAGCCCGCGAGGCCGGCTGGCCGCAGACCTGCCCCCCATGGGCCTGGAGAAGGCCCCGGCCCCCCGCCTGGGCCGACGACTGCCCCCTGGGGACGGCGGCCCTGCTCTGGCGCAGACGCCCGGCGGGCTCTGACCCTAAGCCCCGCGCTTGCTCCCGGGTGCGCGTCCCCTCGAGCTGGCAGCCGGGCGGGAAGACCCCGGCCGGGCAGCTGACCGTGAAGCTGCAGCCACTCTCGTTCCCGACGGCCGCCGTCTCCGAGGCCGAGCTGCTTTTCCAAGGGTCGCCGGGCCTCTGGCTTCCCCACCTGACTTCCCAGCGAGCTACTGCGCTCGCCCCGCGGGCACCTCGGAGGGTCTGCCTCGCCGCGGGCACCACGGAGCCAAGTCACCAGGACGGGCTTTTCCTCAGACTGTAAACAACTCACGGTCTAAAAAACGGTGCTGGCCACATTCTAGCACAACCCGGGAATGCGGGAGTGTCCGCCCCCCCCCCCGCCCCCGGGCTCCCGCGCTCCCCGTGCCCTGCAGAGCCCGAGACCTCGGACAGGCGCCCCAGGACAGCCTGGAGCAGACAGGCGGCCTCCCCCCCGCCCCAGCGCCCCCGAATTCTGTGGTTGAAACCAGCACTGACTCAAACGGCTCCTCAAGGAAGCATTTTCTCAAGCTTAGAAATACCATCTTCGGTCACCCGGACGACTTTTCACCGTAGACGCCTCATCAGTCAACATTATATCGGGGTGGGGGGGGGAAATACACTGTTTTCGTCCACGGTCACAAAGTTCAGGGCCTCCTGCCCGCGAGAGCTGGGCGCTGGGCGGCACCGCAGACCCCGGTCCCCGGGCCGGGGCGGGTCACCGCGGCTTCAGCCCGTCGTTGTTTCAACAGAAGCGCTTTCCGGGCCTGAGCGGCACCGGGGCCAGCGCGCCAGAGCCAAGGAGGGCCTGACCCCCCGCCACCGCCCCGCCGGCCTCCTCGGCCCTCGGCCGAGCCGGGAGCCCACAGCGGACACCCACCGGGCCGCGGTGCCGCACGCACCTTCCAACATTGAGGAAAAGCGTATTTCCAGAGACACTTGACGTGTATTGCAAAATGTACAGCATTTATTCACATACAGACAAAAAGGCACAAATTCTACTAAATAGTTCAACAAAAAAATACAGCTGTCCTCACCTAGTTTTATAAATACTTTCCAAAAAGGGGGTAGAAATAAATACAGGATCGGGCCGTGTCATATAAAATAGTCATCTCTACATAGACTTTGCGGGATTCTGGGTCTTCACTCTTCATGCACCTTCACGCCCCCGTTCCAGCCGCGCGGACTCCAAGCTAGGCACGTAGTGAAAGTCCTCGCGTGCGGGCAGGTGGCCACACGGCCGCCCCGCGCAGAATAACGAAGATTCGCCCACAACACCGAGACTCCTCCATTCCGGTTGTGTCCATCACCTCACGAGGGACTCTCCAGGCAGTCCACGCAAGTGGCACTAGCCGACACTTCGACAGAAGACACTGAGCACAATCAGAGCTATTTCCCGGTCAGGATGCACAAGGAAGGTGAAGCTTAACCAAAAAAAAGAAAGAAGGACCGAGCCAATGGTTCCCACTGACGGTGCAAGTGGGTGCGGCCGCCGCCGGGCGCCCCGAGTCTCGGACCCCCGAGCCCCCGGCGGCCCAGCGGGCTGCACCGTTTGCATCTCGAAGCAGGAGTAACAAGTGTGGACTTTTTCATTCGTGTGGGATTTTTTATTTTTTGTTTTGTTTGGGTTTTTTTTTTTTTTTTTTTTTTGGTTCAGCGTAACTTGAACGTTCGAAAGCTTTTCAACCTAAATGTGGGGGAAACAGGTAAGGCATTATTTTCTGCACAAAACTAGCATTCCTCATAGTGCAAATGAATCTGGGCCTCTGGGAATGGGACGAGGCCGCACACTTACTAGAGGGAATTTAGACTTTCTTTCTATGGCTTGAGAGTCTCCTGCTCATCCTGCTCATCCTGCTCACCCCGCGCGGTCGCCGCGGTCGCCAGAGAAGGGCAGAGATGTCCACCTACTTCTGAACCCAGAAAAGGCTTTTGCTCGAATGCAAAAAAATAAAATCAAATCTGACGTTTAAAGGACGCCCTGCGAGACGCAGCACGGCTGGGACTCCGAGCAACAGCCTCTCCGGACGGCCGTCTCCCGACGGGCGCCCCGCGGCCCCAACACGCCGCCCGCCCGGCCCTCGCCCCCCATCAGCGGGTAGGTGGCCCCCAGGACCTCCCCGGCCGGCGGGCGGCTTGCATAGCGCGGGGGCGGGCGGGCCTCGGAAGACGCGTCGTGAACCAGAGCCGGGCGCCCCGCCGGGCTCCCCCCGGGCGCCCCGCCCGCAGGCCGCCCCCGCGGGCCTCTCGACGACACCGACTCCGGAGAAGACAGAGCCCCGCGCCGCCGGCGCAAGGACAGGACAGAGGACGGGGTTGAACGCAGGTTTATTATTGCTGGTCACTGGCTGCTTATTGCCGCGCGCAGGGGGGAGCCGGGGCTGACCGGCCCCCGCGGCGAGGCCCCCTCGGCCCTTCCTGCCCACCGGGGAGGGGTCCTCGCAACTTATTGCCTTTCCGTGGTTTTTCAAAAATAACCTATTCTGCTTTTGTTTTCCTTCCTGTCGGAAGCGCGGCCGCGCCCGGGAGGCCCCGCCTGGACGTCGAGGCCGCGGCCGGCACCCCCGCCCCGCGCCGCGCCGGGTCAGGAGGCCAGCACGCTGCGGCGGATGAGCGCGGGCCCGCGGCCCAGGCCCCCCGCGCGCGCACTGGCCGTCGGGGGCCTCGCTCTCCGAGTCGCTCATCTCCACGTCGGGCGCGTAGCCGTCGCTCTCGGGGTCCGGCCGCGGCTGGCTCGGGGCGCGCTCCTTGGGGGGCCCGCGGCCCAGGCCCAGGTAGGGCAGGTCCGCGTGCGGGGGCCCGGCGCCCTCCTGCGCCTCGGCGGGCGGCGGGCGCTCCCCCTTCTTTGGAATCCGGAAGCCCCCCCAGTTCTTGGCCGGGCTGGCCGGCGTCGTAGGCACTTTGGCGGCGGCGTGCGCGGGGGTGCCCGCGCCAGGGCGCCGTTGCACCGCGGCGGCGCCTCCCTCCGGGGGCCCGGGGCGCCCGGGGCCGCGCGGCCGGGTCCGGGGGCCGCGCCGGCCGGAGGCTCTGTCTGCAGGGCCGGCCCCGCGCGTCGGCCCGGCCGGGGTCTCCGGGCAGCCCGGGCTCCCCGCGCGCCGCGGGCCGGGGCGCCACCAGGCCGTTCCTCGGGGCGCGGGCGGCAGCCGGGCCTCCGCCGGCGTCTTCTCGAAGCCCGGGAGGCTCTCGGGGCCCCCCCGGCGGCCGCAGAGGTCCGGGGGCCGCAGCAGGGCGGGGCCGGGCCCCCCGGGGGCGCCGAGGAGCGGGGCTCGCGGGGGCGCCCGGGCCGCGCCCATCTGCTTCCTGAAGAAGGCGGAGTGCCACGTGAGGTCCTCGATCTTCGGGGCGCCGGGGCCCGCCGAGGGGCTGTTGAACAGGAGCCGGCCCTCCAGGGCGCGCGCGGGCGGGGGAAGGCACACCTGGGGGGGGCGGGGCGGTGGTGAGACGGGGCGGACAGAACCCCCCGCCGGACAGACCCTCCCCCCCGGACAGACCCTCCCTGACGGACAGGCCCTCCCCCCCGGACAGGCCCTCCCCGCCGGACAGACCCTTCCCGCCCGACACCTTCGGACAGCCCCTCCCCGCCGGACAGACCCTCCCCGCCGGACAGCCCCCTCCCCCCCCCACAGGCCCTCCCCGCCGGACAGGCCCTCCCCCCCCCCGACAGACCCCCCCCCGGACAGACCCTCCCTGACGGACAGGCCCTCCCCCCCGGACAGGCCCTCCCCGCCGGACAGACCCTTCCCGCCCGACAGACCTTCGGACAGACCCTCCCCCCGGACAGACCCTCCCTGACGGACAGGCCCTCCCCGCCGGACAGACCCTTCCCGCCCGACAGACCTTGGACAGACCCTCCCCCCGCCGGACAGGCCCTCCCCCCCCCCCCGACAGGCCCTCCCCGCCGGACAGGCCCTCCCCCCCCCCCCACAGACCCTCCCCCCCGGACAGGCCCTCCCCCCCCGGACAGACCCTCCCCCCAGACAGGCCCTCCCCGCCGGACAGACCCTCCCCCCGGACAGGCCCTCCCCCCCCGACAGGCCCTCCCCCCCGAAGGCCCTCCCCCCGACAGACCCTCCCCCCCGGACAGGCCCTCCCCGCCGGACAGGCCCTCCCCCCGGACAGACCCTCCCCCCGGACAGCCTCCCGCCGGACAGACCCTCCCCCCCGGACAGACCCTCCCCGCCGGACAGGCCCTCCCCCCCGACAGACCCTCCCCCCCCGACAGGCCCTCCCCCCGACAGACCCTCCCCCCGGACAGGCCCTCCCCGCCGGACAGACCCTCCCCCCAGACAGGCCCTCCCCGCCCGGACAGACCCTCCCCCCGGACAGACCCTCCCCGCCGGACAGGCCCCCCCCCGACAAACCCTCCCCCCCCCGACAGGCCCTCCCCCCCGGACAGACCCTCCCCGCCGGACAGACCTCCCCCCCCGGACAGGCCCTCCCCCCCGACAGGCCCTCCCCGCCGGACAGACCCTCCCCCCCGGACAGGCCCTCCCCCCCGACAGGCCCTCCCCGCCGGACAGGCCCTCCCCCCCCCCCCGACAAACCCTCCCCCCGACAGGCCCTCCCCCCGGACAGGCCCTCCCCGCCGGACAGACCCTCCCCCCCGGACAGGCCCTCCCCCCCGGACAGGCCCTCCCCCCCGGACAGGCCCTCCCCGCCGGACAGACCCTCCCCGCCGGACAGGCCCTCCCCGCCGGACAGACCCTCCCCGCCGGACAGACCCTCCCCCGCCGGAAAGGCCCTCCCCGCCCGACGGCAAGGTGGGGTGGGGGCGGGCGCCGGGTGGGTGGGGGCGAGCGCCGGGTGGGTGGGGGCAGGGGGGCAGGCGGGCCTGAGCCTCTGCACCCCTCCCCGCAGGCGCGACGACCCCAAGGGAGCAGGCGGGCGCCCCCACGCAGGAGCCGGCCCCACGCGGCCGCCCACACGCCGGCCGAGCTGCCCCCGGGGCCGGAGCCGCGAGCAGCCGCCGGGGCCAGCCGCACCCCACAGGGCCCGCGCGCCTCCCCTGCCGCCCTCTGCCGGGCGCCCCAGCTGGGCACACGGCGCCAGGCGGGGCGGCGGCTGCCCACTGCTGCCCACTCGTGCCCGCTGCTGCCCACTCGTGCCCGCTGCTGCCCTCTCCTGCCCACTCGTGCCCGCTGCTGGCCACTCATGCCCGCTCCTGCCTGCTGCTGCCCACTCGTGCCCGCTGCTGCCCGCTCCTGCCCACTCGTGCCCGCTCCTGCCCGCTGCTGCCCACTCGTGCCCTCTGCTGCCCACTCCTGCCCGCTGCTGCCCACTCGTGCCCGCTGCTGCCCGCTCCTGCCCGCTGCTGCCCGCTCCTGCCCGCTCCTGCCCACTCGTGCCCGCTGCTGCCCGCTGCTGCCCACTCCTGCCCGCTGCTGCCCACTCCTGCCCACTCCTGCCCACTCGTGCCCGCTGCTGCCCGCTGCTGCCTGCTCCTGCCCGCTCCTGCCCACTCGTGCCCGCTGCTGTCCGCTCGTGCCCGCTGCTGCCCGCTGCTGCCCACTCCTGCCCGCTGCTGCCCACTGCTGCCCACTCGTGCCCGCTCCTGCCCGCTGCTGCCCGCTCCTGCCCGCTCCTGCCCACTCGTGCCCGCTGCTGCCCGCTCGTGCCCGCTCCTGCCCACTCGTGCCCGCTGCTGCCCGCTGCTGCCCACTCCTGCCCACTGCTGCCCACTCGCGCCCGCTGCTGCCCGCTCGTGCCCGCTGCTGCCCGCTCGTGCCCGCGTGGGCGACCCCGACAGGCCCCCAGCCGTCCTCGCGGGCCGCCGGGCGCCCCGGCCCGGGGAGGCCCCGGAGCCCGGCAGGAGCCCCGCCGTCCAGGAGCGACGGGGGCCGAGGCTGCCCCGCGGCGCCCCCTCCTGCAGCCGCCCTGGACGGCCGCAGGGTCGCCCCAGGGGCCCGGGTCGCAGCCCTGTGTGGTTTCCCAGCATGGCCAGGGGGCCACGGGGCGGGGGGCGGCGCCAGCTCGGGCGTGCAGGGCCAGTTGGGGAGAGCCGGCCGGGCCCCGCCCCCGACACGCCCCCGGCACACCCCCGCCCCCCGCTAGGCGCCTGGCCCGCCCCGACACGCCCCGGCCCCGCCCCAACACACCCCCACCCCGGCTAGGCCCGCCCCTGGCCCCGCCCCGACACGCCCCTTACCACGGCCCCGCCCCCGATGCGCCCCGGCCCGCCCCTGATACGCCCCGGCCCCGCCCCCGCCACACCCAACCCGGCTCCAGATACACCCACGCCTGGCCCCGCCCCGGCACGCCCCTCGCCCGGCCACGCCCACGCCCGGGCCAGCCACGCCCCCGGCCCCCGCCGGCTCCGGCTTCCCGGGGCGCAGGCCGGGCCACCCGCGTCCCCAGAGCGGGCAACTCCCCGGGCGCCGCCGGCCGCCAGCCCCGCCAGGGCTCGCCTCGCGCCGGTCCGGGTCCCCCGCACGGCGGGGCGCGGCCCGGGCGTCCGGCTCGGCCCGGCCCGGTGGACACGCGCTCGCCCGCGGCGCGCCTACCTGAGACTCTCTCCTGCTCCACGAGCTTCGTGTAGAGGCCGAGGATCTGCTCCTGCACGCGGCACACGGAGCGCTTAATCTTCTCCCTGCGCGTCACCATGTACGTGAGGTTCCGCACCTGCGCGAGACAGACGGCCTGAGCCCCGCCGGCGGACACGGGGGCCCCGCCCCGCCCGGCCCCCCCACCCCCACCCCCACGCAGGACCCCCGACCCGCGGCACTGACCCTGCGGTGCCACCGGCCAGCAGCCGTCCCGACACCCCCACTCCGCCCTTCCTGGCCACGCCCAGCGCCCCGAGAGCCCCACACCCGGCGAGAAGCAGATTCAAGCCGGTCCCGGAGCCCCTGCAGTCCTTCGCCCGCACCAGTAGGGAAGCGCCTGGGAGCCGGGGGAGCCCCGAGTCAGGGGCCGTGGGGTGGCCCTCAAGTGGCCGGCGAGCCAGTCACCCGGCCAGGGCAAGTCTCGGGCTCCCACGGGGCGGCCGAGCCACTTCCCAGGGCGACCGGCCCGCGGCCTCTGCTCGTCCATCCGTTCCCAAACGCCCGTCTCCATTTGGAGAAGGTCTGAAAAGCCAAGCGCTCGGGGCAGCCGCGCCACCCAAGGGGTCGCTCTGGGGTCCATCTCCCGGCCACGGTGCGGCCTCCTTGGCTGACTCCCACCTGGACAGCCCACGCCGGGGAGGCCCCACCCCGGTCCACGGCAGGCCAGGCCAGGCGGAAGCGCGCTGGGCCATCGCAGGAGGCCGCCCTACGGGCTTCTGGAGTCCGAGGGCGTCCACTGAGGCCCAGGTGGTGCGGCGGCCGGCCAGGCCCACTCGGAGCCTTGTCCTCAGGGCCCAGAGACGGCTCCTCAATCCCCAGTAGGGACAGCCCAAGCTGTCTCACCCATGGCGGGTAGGGGGCCGGGGAGGGGGACCTGCAGACCTGGGGACCCAGAGGCAGCTCCCCTGAGGGGCACATCTCGAGGGGGGCAGCAAGCGGCGGCCCCTACCCCAAACCCACCCCAGAACCACGCTGGGGCAGTGCAGGCCTCCAGGAGCCAGCGACCATGTCCCTGCAGCAGCTGAGCCCACGGCACCACAGGGGGGCTCACAGGGGAAGTGGGGGGCGCCAGACCCCACAGCCCCTCAGACCCCCCAGGCCTGGGCCAAAGCCTGGAGAACGTGCTTCCCTTTTAAAATGAACCGTTTTAATCTGACACTGAATCCCCTAAAAACTCTAAGGATCTTTAATCAAGTAGCTATGAGCAAGGAGCCCCCCAAGCACGTGCACACGCACACACACACGCGTGCACACACACACGCACACGCACCCTGATTCATCCCACGTCTTACGCAGCGGCAGCGGCGTTCTGCTGGAAAGCAGCAGCCAGGACGCCGAGCGCTGCCGCGTCCTGAGAGCATGTTAAGCGAGTCAGCCAGCACAGAAGAGAGTTAGTAACACAGCGTTTTCCACACTTTTATTCTGTGTGATCCAGACGAACAGACAGCACACCCGCCCCCCCGCCCCCCGCCGCCCCGGGCCCCAGCGGAAGGCCGTGGGCTCTGCTCGTCCTCGAACCCAAGCCACGCCACACAGGGTGATGGGCCTCCCCTGCGACCAGGGGCCACCGTCCACCCGGAACCGCACCCACGTGCCCCCCCCACCCCCCCGCTGGCCTCACTCAGAACCGCGCCCAAGCCCAGCCCAGAGCGCTGACCCAGCCTCACCAGGACCCTCCCCTGGTCACAGAAGGGCCACCACGGCCGCCCACGCTGGGCCACTAAGACCTCGCACTCAAGTCCCCCAAGTGAAGCAGGCCCTGGGCGGCCACTGCCCACATAGCTCCCCACTGTCCCGCGGCGGCCACCCCACTGCAGGCGGGAGCTAGGGATGTGCAGGGGCAGCTCCGTCCTCCGGGTGCCCTCCCCGCAGCAGCGTGGGCCGGGGCCCTCGGCTGCCCGTGGCGCTGACAGGGTCAGGGAGTGGACGCGCCCGGGTCAGGAGCCTTGGCCAGTAGCTGCGCGGAGGGCAGTCCCGCAGGGAGTCCAGGGCCCCGCAGCCACGCCCCAGGGGCCCCCGCAGGGGCTGCAGCTGCTGACCGCGACGTGTAGTGAGACCCCGGCCCGGAACCCCATCATGCCAGACACCACACGCTGTGTGCAGGGAGCGCCCGGGCCCACGCCCCCGAGCTCCGGAGGGCACCGGCCAGCCCAGAGCCCAGGGCTGCACCCCGAGGCCCACAGCAGAGCCGCCCAGGCTGACGCGCGCGCTGTCCCCGCCCCCCATCCCAGGCCGGCCCTCGGGCGGGTGCCGGGGCCCAGCTCCCGCGGAGCAAGGGCGGGGGAGCACGGGGCGGCCAGGCACCGGGCGCGCGTGGGTCCCAGCGGCCCCTGTTCTCTAGGCCCCTACAGGGTGTCGGGGTCGGTCATTACCCTCTCCAGGTCCTGCCGCAGGTGCGTGAACAGCCGCAGCCGCCGGAACAGGGCGTCCTGCTCCCGCTCGGCCAGGTTGTCCTCCTCGTCCTTCCGGGGCGTGATGAGCGGCTTGTTGAAGTTGACCTTGCGCTTGAGCTTCCAGTACTGGTAGAGGAAGTCCACCACCGCCTCGGGCAGCCGCAGGGCCCGCGCCACGTCCAGCAGGTTCACGAAGGTGTAGAACTCATCCTCCAGCTGCTGCAGCTTCTGCTTGCGCGCGCTGCCCCGCGGCCCCTCATCCTGGGCCTGCGCCCGGCCCGCCAAGGGCTCCGGCGGCGCCGCCCCGTTCTCCGCCGCCGGCCCCGGGCCCAGGCCCTCCTCGTGCTTGCGGCGGGAGCTGTGCTTGGGGCAGTAGGACTTGAACTTGACCTCGTCATTCTCCGCCAAGATGGTCCTCATGTCCAGGCCCTGGTCGAAGGCGCAAGTCACGTGGAAAGCCGTGCGGCAGTTCTTCACGGAGCACTGGGGACAAGAGCCGGGGTCAGGGGCCCCGAGCCGCGGAGCGCGGGGACGGAGGGAGGCCGGGGGCCCGCTGCAGTCGCCCGGGCACACGGGGGCACGGGAAGGGGTGCGTCCCTGGGGACAGGGCAGCGGCTCCGGGCCTGGGCACACACCTGAGCGCCTTCAAGGTTTCTACAAGATGCTGGGAGGGTCCGCCTGGCCCGGAAGTCCGCGGCCCCGTCTCACCGACAGTCCCCACCAGCAGGCGGGCGTGGGGCGGCCTCAAGGGCGGCGGCGGCCGTGGAGAATCAAGAGCCCAGGTGGACTCCAGAACCCCAGGCCCCAGGGCCAGAACTGGCCCCGGCGGGGGCTCGGAGGAGGCGGGACCTGCTGTGTGGGGCCGGGACCCACCTGCAGCCGGCCAACCGGCGGGGGCCGAGGCTGGCGGAGCCAGAGGCCCAGCGCGGTCTGGGCAGCTGGGGACGGGGCCCCAGGGGAACAGCCTCTCAGGGCTGCTGTGTAGGCCTGGAACTCGCCTGCCCCACACCCTGTCCTAATCCTACCGGCCTGAAGACACTGCAACCAGGCGGTCGTGGGAGAGCACGGGAGCCCCGTATGGACCATCCCCCCTCCACACACTCGCCTCGCCGGCCAGAGCCCCCAGCTGTCCAGACAGCGCTCTGTGCACCTGGGCCCTGCCTGTGGTGGCCCCCCCACCCCCGCTCCAGGACGGGGCCGGCTCCCCAGCAACCTGCACTGGGCCTGGGGCCGCGTCAGCCGCAGGCAGGGCCGGGGAGGCCATCCCAGGGCCCTGGCTCTCCTGGAGGCGTCGCCGAGGACAGGGAGGGCAGTGACACCCAGGGCGGGCAGAAGCAGAGCCAGCGGACGGGGACTCAGGCCTGGAAGTCGGGGCCACGCCCACCCCAACCCCCGCACCCGGACAGTCACCTGTATGGACGCGCCGAACTTCTCGCTGCAGAGGCTGCACACCAGCGCCCACCGGCTGCTGGGGATGTGGGACACCTTGGTGATAGGCTCCATCTTCTCGGGGCTGCCGATGCTGACCTGCAGGCGGGGGGCGCGTCAGAGCCCCCCAGCTGAGGGACGCCCCTCAGCCCCCCCGGATGACGATGCCCCATTTGTGGCAACACTGGAGCAGGGAGCCTCATCCTGCCTGCACGACAGATAGCCAGGACCCACGCGGGCCAGACACGGCCGTCCCCTCCTCCTGGGGTCACAGCCCACGGGACCCGCCACAGGGGTCAGCACAGAGCAGGGTAGGGCAGCTGCGAGGCCCTGGTGCTGGGAGCTCTTCTCTGTGGCCAGAAAACCCCACTTCCCAGGGGAGTGACCACTCTGCAGCCACCTGGTCCTGGCGTCCTCTCACCTCCCCACCCAGCCCCAGGCTGCCCCGGCCGCCAGAACCCAGGCCCTCACCTCGGGGTCCCCCACCTCAGTCTGTACCCACCTCGGGGATCCACAGGGCACAGCTGACGTGGACCCACTTGGTGCCGCTGCGCGTGGGTTTCATGGCGCCGCCCTTCTTGGGGCAGAGCAGGCAGCGGGGCTGGACGCCCAGGGCACACGTCCGGCACAGCCAGCTGCCCTCCGGCACCTTGAGGATCCCATAGCAGGCCTGCATGGCGGGAGAACATGCTGAGCCCCGCACGTCCCCTCGCAGGCACCCAAGAGCCTCCCAGGCAGCCCAGCCTCCGTCCCCCTGCCAGGCTGCAGGACACCATGGCCAGAGGGAGCTGACGGCCAGTGACACCACAGGGTAGCCCTGGAGACAGCGAGGACAGAGAGGCCTCGGAGGCTCTGGGCGGTGTGCTGCCGGCCGCGGGCAGTGCAGACCAAAGCTCAGCTGAGGCCGGCAAGGGAGCCGCCAGCGCAGGCTGCCTGGAGGGCCCCACACAGCCGAGGAGGACCCAGTGCACTGCACCTGGGCGGGCAAGGAGGGGCCCACGGGGCAGCCATGAGAGGAGGCGCAGAGACCACCCCCGCGTCCCACCCCACGTGTCTGCCCCAGGGACTGCACGGCCCCGATTCACGGCAGGGCCCCCACCCCCACCCCGCCAGCTCAGTTCCTGCACCAACACCCTGGCAAAGGTGCGGGCAGAGAGGTGTCCCCAAAGGGCAGTGCCAGCCCCTGCGGCAGGACCATGCGGCCTCGCTGGATCAGGTGGGCCCCGTCCACTGTACCCGGGGCCCACGGAGAGGATGCTGGGGGGTGCTTCCAGCAGCCAGGACCGGCCAGCACCGGCCAGCACCGGGCTGCATTCGCCAAGCTCCAGCCCCTGGATGCGCAAACGCTACCCACCAAGGGCTGCTTTGGGCTCCGTGTACCTAACAGCTGCGCTGAGCCGAGCAGGGAAGAGCCGGGGGGGGGGGGGGGGGGGGACCCCATGTGGAGAGCGGCCAGAGCAGCTGGGCCGGCCAAAGAGCACCGGAGCCTTGGAGGAGCGAGGCTGCCGCCGTGGCGCTTCCTTAGTTGCGCAGGACACAGCAAAGGAGCCGTCTGTGGGAGGCCCCGCCCCCGGAGGGCCGGGCTCACGGCCACTCTGCCGGGGCGCCCCACAGCAGGGCGCACTCCTGGGGGCGCGCCTGTACACGTGCTGCAGATGTCCACACCCCCGGCTGCCCCCACCCCGCGCCCCACCGCACCTGGTGCACACAGATGTTGCACTTGTCGCAGAAGACCATCTCGTTGCCGTCCTCGCCATCCGGGGACTGGCAGACGTCACAGACCACGTCCTCGTCGTACTCGATGCCCAGCCCCTCCTCTGTCTCGATGGCGTGGCTCATGTTGTCATAGCAGTGCTGCTCGAACGCCTCCAGCACCCGCTCCATGGTGTGCTCGTCCAGCGCCGGCATCCCTGCGGCCGCACCCGTCAGCAGTCCGTCGGGGGCCACCGTGCCCTGTGCCCTGCTCCCCGGAGGGCGCCCTGCGCCCCACACCCCGGGCCTTACCCATCTCCTTGAACTCCTCGTTGGTCAGCTCCAGCCACGCGGCGTCCATGTCGTTGAGGTCGTACCGGCACACGCTATCGGCCAGCGTCCGGATGTCCACGTAGCCCAGCTCCGGGGGCTCCGAGCCCGAGGACACAATGTACTTCTTGGGCCTGATGAACACGAGGGACTTCTCCTCAGACACGAGCCTGCAGAGAGCCGGGCAGCGGTGACCCCGGGGCGCAGCAGGGGTGCATCTGCCTCGCCCACACCGCGCCCCGCCCGCCAGGACGCCCCCGGAGCCGCCGCCCAGGGCGCCCACCTGGCCACGGGCCGCGGGATGGTCCCGGGGCTCACGGGCACCTGCACGCCCTTCTCCCACTCCTGCCTCCAGGGGTCGGCCAGCACGCAGTACTCATCGGGGCTCAGCTGGTGGGAGTCGTGCAGCTTCATGGCGGTGATCAGGTCTGTCCGGAACACCTGCGGGCACAGCGGGTCAGGCGCTCGCTGGTGGGCAGCCACATGTGGCCGCGGAGCCCTGCCCGGCCCGCCCGTCTACAGAGCAAGGAAGAGCTCCGTCCTGCCTGGGGAGGCCGAGAACTTGCCGCCACCACAGCCACTGCGCCCCTGGGACGGCGCAGGACAGGCTGGAGGGCAGCAGGGTCGAGGCCGAGGGGCCGGGAACGGCCCCTCCCCACCCCTCCCCACCCCTCCCCAGTGTGCAAGGTGGCACGTCCACCCTCGGGCCAGCCTCACCCGGAGGCTCCCTCCGCAGGGCATGGCCTGGCGCCCACAAGCAGCGTGACCCAGAGCCGCCCCGCGCCGGCGGACGCCCCTCCCGCGGCACCTCTGAGGGCTTCCGGTCTTCGTGTCTGGAGCAGGAGTTTCTCCTGTGCTGGGACCGCGAGCTCTGGGACCAGGTGGTGGACAGGCCTGCGGAGGGGGCGGCAGACAGGAGCCGTGAGGACGGCGGCGGGGCCAGCGTCACGGGCCTGGGGCCGCGCCTCCCCCGGGCACGACAGCCCAGGCCCCACGCCGCCCCAGGGCGCTCAGACCCGGCTGCACCAGGCGGCCTCCAGGATGACCCGGCCCCTCCCCGGGAGCAGCCCCCGGGGTCTGGGCAGCCAGGGCCCCAGCAGTGTGCGGGGGTCTCCGAGGCCGCCCTGAGCCGCACTTACTGCCATTGTCGTCCGAGTCCTCGCTGCTGCTGGGCAGGCGGCCTCGTTTCATGTTCCCCGGGGAGCGGCAGGGCCTGCGGGAGACGACGCTGAGCGGGGCGGGGTGCAGGGACTGGACCCGCCAGCGTCCTGCCCCGGCCCCACAGCCCTTGGCTCCCGCGCCCCGAGTGGGGCTGAGGGTCTCCACTGCAGGGGGCGCCATCTGCTCCCCGGGCACATTTTGGTAAAATAACCCTAAAAGCTCAACAGTGCGAGTTCCAGGAAGAAAACCACAGGCGCCAGGACTGCAGGGTCCCTCCAGCCCCTCCAGCCCCGGACCCCGGCATGGGACGGTCGTGGCTCCCAGCAGACGGAGCCCGAACCCCAGCTCCACCCCACGCCCCGGCAGGCTACGACAGCAAGTCCACCCTCCCATGGCGACCCCACCCAGCCACCCACCGCGGAGCCCGGCCCTCTGCGGAGAGCCCATCCAGCTGCCGGCCCGGCTCCCGCCGGCCCCTCCGACCAGCCCCAGCCCAGCGGGCCTCGCTGGCCAGGCCTCCCCCCTGAAACACCCCGCTCCCTTCCAACCCACCTACTATGCCAAGCCACGGCCCCGGGGTGCAGCTGGAAGGCCCCACACCCCGTCCCACACTTGCACGTGCTCCTGCTGCCTCCTTCAGAGCCTGCCTTGCTCTCAACAGCAGCCACCCCCGCCCGCACCACGCACACACGCATCTCTGCAGCTGCCTGGTTCCGGGGTTCAGAGCATGGGGCTCCCCAGAACTCGGGGTCCCGCCCGCCACGCTGCACCCCCGATGCCCTCCATTCTGTGCACAGGTGCCAAGGGTCCGGGTGCCAGGGCATAACAGCCAGGCAGACGCCGTGCTCCTGGGGTCCGGGGCTCGAGGTCAGTGACTCCAGAGTCCCCCAACACGGACCCCGGGTGGGGGGCTCCACGCGGGTCCAGAGGAAAAGGAAGGCAAACCACACTCGTCGCACGGCAGGAAACAGCCGTTTCTAAAGCACCTCAGTGAAGCGGGCAGGGTTCACACACACTGGCGCCTGCACACGCGCACGTGTGCACACGCAGGGCCCGTCGGCCCCGTCGCACCCGGAAAAGAAAACGTCCAACGCGACACCCCTCAGTGGGGCGGGAGGGGCGAGGAGAGGAGGCAGCACCCTCGGGGGCAACTGCGAAGTGTCAGCAGGCAGCCGGGGGCCTTGTGAGCGCGCCAACCAGATGGGCTCGTGCGGGACCCCGGAGCGGCTCCTGAGGACACCAGACCAGCCAGCCAGGGGCACGGGCACCACGGGCAAACGTGCGGGTTCCCAGGAGTGGAGCGCCGCAGCGCATCACCCCAGCAGCACTAAGTCACCAGCACCCGCCTCAGCACCCTTTCAAAAAGGCCCTGTCTCCCCCGCTGCATCCGCGGAACCGGGAAGGCAGGCCCCGGAGCCCGCAGACCAGCTGCGGTCCAGCAACAGCACCGTGCACGTCTGACCAGACCCGGCAAGCCCAGACCCTGCGCCGGACCGGCGAGGGTCCAGGGACACTGCAGGCGGGGCGGCCCCAGAGCTTAAACAAGGCCACGGTGAGAAGCGTGTGGCCTTTCCTGGGGAGACCCCTGAGCCTCCAGCCCCACATGCCCGAAGCTAACACAGGAACTCCGCGCCTCCGAGGGCTCCAGCCTCCCGCCGGCCTAGCGGCCGGTCCTGACGGCCACACTGGGGATGACGGCGCGCGAGGGAGAGGAGCCGCAGGAAGAAGTGACCAGGACTTGGATGTTAAGTGGAAGGGCGCCCCCAAATGCCTGCAGGGTCAGCCCAAGTTGATTTTCGGGGCCGGGGCATGGCTTCAGGTGTCCGCAGAGCTCAGCCCACACAGACGTGCCCTAAGGCTCCCCCGGAACTGGTGGGTGCTCGCCAAGACCCCAGAGCAGCCCAGACTCTGCCCACCCCGCTGGTCCTCTGTGCTGGACACAGCCTGTCACGGGGCGCCGGCCACCGCCCGCAGGGGGGAGGGGACCAGAGGCCCCGTCTCAGCGCCCACCTCGCTCTCCACGGACACCCTCACTTAACCAGCAGTCAGAGACGGCCTGAGAGGTGGTCGTGAATCTCGTAATAAAAATCTCCAACAACTGATGGCAAAACAGGTCGCCTGGGGCACCTCCAAACAGGGCTCACCGCTCAGCGCCCTCCCCAAATTAGCCCCGAGAGCCTGAGGTTTAAACAGTCAACTCGGGCCTCCCCGGTGGCGCAGCGGTTGAGCGCTGGGTTGCGGGGCTGCCCGCAGCCTCTGCGGCGCCGGTTCGATCCCCGGCTGCTCCCCGGCCACCGGAGGAGGGTCCCACATGGCGCGCAGACCCCTCCTGCCGCCCGCTGCTCCCCTCAGCAGTGTGCTTCGGTCCTTCGTCCTGTTCTGCTCCCCGCTCTGGCTCTGGTGAATCCTCTCACCCTCCCGCGCTTCTGACTGTGCCCAGTGCTTGTATAAACAAAAGCAAACAAACAAACAAACAAGCAAATAAATAAAACATGCCTCTTTAAAAAAAAAATGTTTTAAATAAATAAATAAAAATAAATAAACAGTCAACTCGCGTCCCATCTGGACTCCCCAGAACCAGACATGGCAAGCGCAGGCCCGGGGGGCTCCAGGGGGTCTCCACGTCCAGGCACAGGCCGCACCCTGCTCTGGAGAAAGATCCCCGGGGGCCTCACAGCCCCTCCCCTGCCGCAGGCCCTGCCGGTGCTGTCGGCCACCTGCGTCTCCACTGCGAGTGGGTGAACATGTGCCCCCGCCCCCAGCCCAAGAGCACCTCCCCTGTGAGGATGCCAGGCTTGGCACCGCCCAGTCTCAGCCTTGTGAGCTGTCTGTGAGCTGTCACGTGACAGCAGCAGGTAAGTGTGCAAACGTGAACCCCTAGGCGCAAGCGTGCCAGGACCCAGACCAGCGGGCAGAACCAGGAGCCAACTTTGAAGCCGCGATTCTCAGGAGTTAGAGGACCCCATTGGGGTTCGTGCAGACTGACATTGTGGGGAGACCAGCTTCTGCAGGTGGGGGCCCCTCTATCGCTGAGTCCGCCAATGAGGGCCGAGTTCCCGGAGAGAGGGGCGTGGCACCGCCTCCAGGGCGCCCCTCCCCAGCCAGGGAGCCAGCGCTGAGGGACCCCACAGAGAGCACTTCACCGCTCCCAGGGCCCCGGCGGGGTGAGCAGAGCTTCCGATCGTAACCACAGTGAGAACTTTCGGGGACACGGCAGCGCCGGGTGGGCCCCACAGGCAGCCTCATGGAACCCCCGAGAGGCCCAGCATGGGCCACCCGCCCCCCAGCACACCCCCTCCGGCGCAGCTGTGGATGAACACACCGGGCAAGTGCCGCACCCAAGGACTTCAGACAGGAGGTCTCCGAACCCCAGACTCGGGACAACCAACCCTGGCCGGCTCCCAGCTCTGCGGGACCCAGCGCCAGTACCCAGGCTCGCCTCCCTCAGGTCTGACTCGGGAACCCGCAGGCGGGACGACCCAGGCTCGCGGGCGGAGGGCAGGGCTGCGGGCACAGGACCTCGGTCACAGACAGACACGCGGCTCCTGAGCACAGACGACGCGCCTGCAGCGCCATCTACACGCGCAAGTGTCACCACAGGACCCCGAGGAGCTCAGGCACCCCCACAGCTGAGGAAATGATGGAGCTGGCCGACAGAAAAACCTGCTTCGAGAGCTGTCCACGCGCGCCGACCCCGGGCTGCTGGAACCCGGGCAGGCGGTGCCTGGACTGGGCGGCAGGCGTCTCTCTGGTGTCCACCTGCCTGCCCGTGTCTCCGTCTCTGGGGGCACGACGAGCACGGCTGCTGTGATGACGAGGCCACCGGCTGCCCAAGTCACAAAGCCCTCGTGTCCCCACAGGCCAGAGCCCTGGAGGTGGTGGCGGGCCCGCCAGACTCTTGTGTGAATTGACCTTCTCCCCAGGTCACCAGAGGCAGCACAGTTCATGCCAGAGCACGGGTCCCCTGGACTCTGAGGCGCTCCTGCTGGTCCCCTGCACGCGACGGCCAGGCTTTCCGTCTGTCCTACTACCGGGCTGGGGACAAGAGGGCTCCTGCGCCCCAGGCGGGGCATTGGCAAGGTGGATGGGTCTCGCTGCCCCTGGAGGGAGTGTCCAGCGCTGTCCAAGCCAGACTTGCGGGACAAGCCCCCCAGCTCTCGTTCAGGAGCAGTGCGAGTTCTGAGGGTGGAGGGGGACAGAGGGGAGCGAGACAGTGGACAGCAGACAAGGGTGTGGATGCTGACACAGCCCTGCTTCTCGGAGGAAGCAACACCCTGCTGACCAGGACCCCCGACCTGAAAGTGGCCAACGGGTGCTCATTTCCCTCCACCAGGAGGGCGTGGGGCTTGGGCCGCCGCTGGCCAGTGTCCACGTGGAGCCCGGGGGCGGGTCTGGGGAGGCTGCCTCCCTCCTAGGACAGGTGCAAACCCAGCTCACCCACACCCACTGCGACTCTGGGGGCCACAAGCCAAAGGGCCTTCCCGGGCGGCGCCTCTCCATCCCAAGGCCAGCTCACGAGCCGGGAAGGGTCAGCCTCCAGCCGCAGGCAGCCGGCGCTGGCCTCCCGGGGCCTGTGCGCAAAGGAGGGAGCTCACCTCCCGGACCCCTCCAGGAACACAGCCCCAGGCCGGCCACCGGGGGACCTCGGCCGCTGCGGGGAAGGCGGCCTCGCCTGAGGCGCTGCGGCTGCGGAAGGAGCATCTCCCGCCCGCCCGCTGCCCGCGAAGGCCCGGCCGGCCACGCATTCCTAACGGGTTTCCCGGGACGTTTAAATCGCCCGCTTTTTTGTCTGCTGGCCACAGGCCGGCGTCCCCCCGGCCGGCCTGCGGCTGCCCCCATGCGCCCAGAGAGGGAGCCACGTGGGGACCCCAGACCAGGGACCGGGGTGAGCAGAGTGGGCTGGAGGCCACAGAGTGGGGTTCCTGCGGGAGGGGAGGCAGAAAGCTGGGGACCCCAGGAGAGGCTTGGGGAGGGGATCCTGGAGGGCAGAGCCGGGGTGGAGGGCCCAGGGAAGGGAGCCCCTGGGGAAGGGCGGGGTGGCCGGGACCCCGGGCGAGACCCCGCGGAGGGGAAGCAGAGCCGGGCGGGAGGCCCGCGGGGTGGCGGAGGGCCAGGGCGGGGGCTGGGGGAGTGGGTTTGGGGGGAGGCAGGATCGGGGGTGGGCGTCCGGGGTGGGGGTGGCGCGCGGGGACCCCAGGAGCAGGCCCCGGAGGAGAGGGGGAGCCGGCGCGCGCCGCCCGCTCGTTTGAAAGTGGCCGCCGCGCCCCCGCCCCGCCAATCCGCTCGGCCGGCCTCGCGCGCCCCGCGGCCCCGGCGCGGCAAACGGCCGCCTCCCCGCCCGCCCGCCCGCGGGCGCCCCGGCCGGACCCGGCGCCGGGCCGCGCGCTCTCGCCCGCGGGGACCGGCCCTGCCGGCGGGAAAGCGGCGCCCCGCCCCGCCCCGCGCGGCCCGGCCCGGGGCGCCCCGGCCCGGCCGCGCCCCCGGCCCCGGCGGCACCTGCCCACGTGAGCGCCGCGGTCACCTGCGGGCGCCGGGCCGCGCCGCCGCCGAGTTGGGGCGCCCCGGCGGGGCCGTGCACCTGCCTCGCCCGCGCGCCCCTCGCGCGGCCGGCGCCGCCGGGGCGGGGCGCGGGGTCGGGCTTCTCCCGCGGGGTGCGCGCCGCCGCCCGCCCGGCCCGCGCGCCGCCCCCCCGCCCCCCGCGCCCTCGCGCCGGCCCGACACGTGCGCCGGGTCCGCAACTTGCGGTCGGGGCGCGCCCCCCGGCCCCGCCAGCTCCGGGCGCCCGGCCCCGCGGCCCCCCCGCCCGCCCCGCGCCGCCGGGGGTGGGGAGCGGCGGGTCCGGCCTCGGGGACCCCGCGGGAGCCGCGCCCGCCCCCCGCTGCCCTTGAATGGAAGCGGCGAGCACGGGGGGCGCGCGGCGCCGGGGGACCAGAGCGGCCGCGCCCCCCCGCGCCCGGGCCCCCCGCGCCCCCCCCCGCCCCCGCCGCGGCCCCCGCCGGGCAACTCGGGCAACTCGCCGCGCGGGACGGGCTCACCTGAGCGCGCCCGGCGCCGCCCCCGAGCGCGCGCCAACTTACGGGGCCCGCGAGGTCGGGGCGCAGGCGCCCGGGCCCCTCCCGCGCCGCCCCGCCAGCGCCCCCGGGCCGGCCGCCGCCTCCCGCGGCTCCGGGGCGCCGGCGCCCGGCGCCATGTTAGTGACGTCCGCGCCGCCCGCCCGCCCGCGCCGCCAACATGGCCGCGGCCCGCGCGCCCGCCCGCCCGCCCGCCCGCCCGCGCCTACCTGCGGCGGCTGCGGCCCAGGCCCGGCTCCGCGCCGCATGGGCCCGGGCCGGCGGCGGCGGGGCGGGCGCGGGGCCCTGCTCGGCGGCTCGGCCGCCCCGCGCGGGAGGCCTGCGCCGGCCTGGCGGCTACGGAGGCGGCCCGGCGCGCCGCGCGCTCATTTCTGGGTCGCGGCGGCCACGGGGGGGAGCCCTGTCCTCCGGCCGAGCCGAGGGTGGGGACGGGGCGGGGGACGCGGGGACGCGGCGCGGGGGGGCCGCCCGCTTAACCCTTGGCGGCCCGGGGGAGCGGCGCCCCCTCTGCGCCCGGGCGCCTCGCACGCCCGCAGCCCGGGCCGGCGCCCCCCGCGCCCCCCGCGCCCCCGCCCGCCCCGCCGGCCCCGGCCCTCCAGGTCGCTCCAGAACGCTGGGGATGAAGCGGCGGCGCGCCGGCGGGAAGGCTGATGTTGGGGTCACCGCCGATAAACAGGCGCTCTGTGCGGCGGGAGCGGCCGCGGGGAGCCGCGGGGCAGGGTCACCGTTCAAGCCCCGCACCCGCCGGGCCGGCTCTGCCCAAGTGACTGCGCGGGCGACGCGCGTAAATGAGTTTTGATTCAGACGACGGCCCTCCCGACGCCGCCTCGCCGCCCCTTAGGGCCCCGTTTTATATCGGGGTTGCCCCGTAACGCTCCCCGCGGGACAGGTGAGGCGGCCGCCCGAGAAGGCCCGACTGGACATGGGGGTTCCCGGGCGGCTGGGGCTGCAGAGGAGCCGTCACTGCTTTCCCAGGGTCCGAACTTGCTTTTTCACGTGGAGGCGAACTTACGTCTCTCCCGGTGTCAGGGGGAAAGGCTGTCCCAAGCTGATCCCACACAGGCTCTGTGGACGCCACCCCACCCCAGGCCAAAGCCAAAGACACCTGGAACTCCACATCCCATCCCAGCTGGGGTCTGAGGGTGGGGTTCAGCAGCCAGGTTGGTATAAGCCAGACACGTGGGCTTTGGAGGGGTCCCCCATTTTGGCTCCCCGCCAGCTCGCAGCGTCCGGCCAGCTCGGAGAGGGCCTTTGGGTTTCCAGGTCGGCGGATCGGGTAGGACGCATGAAAGACTTTATTTCCTATTTTCTCCCTGAGTTGTCCGTTTTCCTTCTTTCCTTTTCCCTTGTCAATAAACCTTGTATGAACATTTTGTGTGTGTCTGTAGTGGAGTGTTCGTAAGTCCCTTGTAAGCACGCGGGTGAGGACCCACAGCCAGGAACCCGTTTAATATTGGGGTTGCCCTATAACACCCGCCCCCGAGAAGGAAGGGCATATTGACACTCAGCTCAAAAAGAAAAAAAGACCTGATTGTAAATGGCAACTCCCGTCCAGCAAACAGCGCGCTGCTGGCGCGGGCCTGAAAGGCCAGCCCCACGGCCGTGCCCCTTGGCGTGTCCTGAATGTGTCCGGAAGTTCTCGCTCGTCCTGGCCACCCGCCCACCGCCAGGGCGCCATCGGGTAAACGTGGCAAAACAAGACTCATGTCCACGGAAACTTCCAGGAACTTTTCAGAAACAAAGTGAAGCCAAAGGAGAGTGAGGTGCCGGCTGGTCCTCGCCCGTCTGGCTGATGAGGACAGCAAGGAGGCCCATCCCCCCTGCGGGTCACTGCGTGGGCCTTGCTGGACCTCGGGCTGGCAGTTTCCACTGGTTCAGCCACACGGATGCTCCTGCAGAGTTGACACAGGCTGCTGGGGACAAAGAGAGCCAGGGCTGCCTGCTGCCTGCCGTGTGACCACGGGGCCCACAGAGGCCTCGGAGCCATG